GACTGACTGAGTTCCCTGCTCATTCTTGACCGGACTCGCTGTCAGTGTCGCTGCGAACGTTGCCCGCTCGATCGAGGCAGAAGGTCGCCTGCCCAACAGCCGCCGCGCTCGGCTCTAGACAGCCCTTCTTGTTGGACAGATTACCCATGTTTTCCCGTAGCCATTTTGGGCGTCCAAATGAACCATCCCAGACATCCGATGCCGTTTTTTGTTTTTTCACTGTCTGGCTGCTCAGAGTTCTGGACCCCTTCCCTCAGAGGCGGAAAAGGTACCCGCTACCCCTGCCTCGTTTCTGCTTTTTTGGGCCTCCCGATGGGCCCGCGTTGCCGCCGCCGGATTCGCACCAGAACTCTGGTCAGAACGGGCCCCGGGAGAGCTCCAAAGAGTGGCGCTCTCGGCATCTTCTGGTCCTCCCGCTCCCGCGGAGCCAGCCTCTCGCCCCGAGTCTGTCTCGTGACCACCGAGGCCGAGACCATGGCCGCGCGGACCTTCCGCCGTCCCAGTTCCCCGACGTCATGATACGTCGACCCCCAGAGGTTTGGACCCACTCCCCAGGACCGGTGTTTCCTCCTGACTCGTTTTTTGGCGGTCCCGAGGCCCGGCAGGGGCCCCGAGAGGCCGAAGATCTGGAAAAACCTCCCGCCGTGATTTTTTGTTTAGGCTCGAGGGGGTCTGGGGGTGCTCCTCGGCGGCAGGATGCCCGGGGGTCGAGGGCCCCTCCGGCCGACGCCTCCGCCCGGTGCCCGGCCCCTCGGGGCGGGTGCCGGCCGGGCGGCCGCCGGATCCTGGCGGCGTGCAGGCCGGGCCTTGGGGCGCGGCATGCCGAGGGCGCGGATCGAGCAGCGGCGAGGAAGGCTCGGCCTGCCTGCGGGCCCACCGGACCTGGACATGTTCGCGTCGTAACAGAAATCAGGACGGGAGGTTTTTCGCCACCCCAGACCCCCTCGAGCCATGAAAAAATCACGACGGAAGTTTTTTTTATATTTTCGGCCTCCGGGGGCCCGGGGGCCCCTACCGGGCCTCGGGACCGTCAAAAAACGACTCAGGAGGAAACGCCGGTCCTGGGGAATGGGTCCAAACCTCTGGGGGTCGACGTCATGAAAAAATCATGACGTCGGGGGTCTGGGTTCGGCCTCCAGGGGCCCTCGCCGGGCCTCGGGGCCGTCAAAAAACGGTTCGGGATGAGGAGCCGGTCCAGGGGAGAGGGTCGGGGCTTCCAGGGGCCCCGTCCTGAAGAAGTCAGGGCGTCACGTGTCTGGGGAGGCTGCGATGAGAGCCGCTGGTGGTCTGCGCGACGTGTCCTCGGGGCACTTCTTTGCCGAGGCCGGTCCTGTTTGGGCACCTCGGGTTTTTCTGTGTTCTGGGAGCGCTGCTGTGGTCTTTCGAGCACGTGCTTTGGGGTTCTGAGAGCACACGCGACCCCACCTGCTCGGAGCCTATTTTGGGGGAGGTCCTCGTAGCTCTGCTCGCTCGCGGTCCTCGCAGCTCGTGCCTGTTCTCCTCGTGGCTCAGCGTGTGCTCCTCGGAGGTCCACTAGGGGGCCCTGGTGCCTCCTCCTGGTTACTGCAGCAGCTGTGCCTGTGGTCGTCGTGGCCTCCTCCTCCTCCTCCTCCTCCTCCTCCCGAGCTTGTGGTCCTAGAAGGTCCGCTGGTGGCCGTAAAAGCTTTGCCGGTGGCTGTAGTAGCTCCGACTGTTGCCCTCGTAGCCCAGTTGGTGTCTCTGGTAGCTCAGGTGGTGGCCCTCGTATCGCAGCAGGCAGCCCTCGTGGTTCAGCTGGTACTTCTTGTAGTCCCGCTTATGGCATTCGTGGCTCAGCCTGCGGTCCTCGTTGCTCAGTTTCTGGCTCTCGTGGCTCGGCCGGTTGCTCTCGCAGCGCAGTCATAGCTCGGCTTGTGGCTCTCGCAGCACAGCTTGAAGCTCTCGCGGTTCAGCTGGTGGCTCTCGCGGCTCTACTGGCGGGTCTCGTTGCTCGGCATGTGGGGCTGGAAGCTCTTCAGGTGGCTCTCGTAGCCGTGCGTGTGATCCTCGTAGTTCAGCGTGTCGTCGCCGATGGTCGTCTGGTGGTCCTGGTAGCTCAGCTGGTGGCCGTAGTAGCTCAGAGGGCACGCTCTCTTCGTAGTCCCCGAGGTCCGAATCGGAGTTGCCTGCTGCCAAGTCGTAGTGTTCCACGTTGTGAAGCTAGAGTAGCCCTGGGGGCGTAGGAGTACAGGTTGCTATCGAAGAAGTTGCCGTAGTCGTACTCTGAGTTAAGCGGCGCGGCCGTAGTCGTACTTGTCGTCGGCGGCGCGGTCGTTGTCCATGGGTACCTCCACGACGACGTATTTAGTCACCTCTTCGGGTTGCTCGGTCGTGTCGTTCCTGGTGTCGGTCTTGGTTGCGTACTTGGTGTCGTAATGGTGGTGGTCGTCCTTGGGCTGCCTGTTACGTAGCTCTTTCTCGCACCGTGGTTGCCTGTTACGCAGCTCGTGCTTGGACGCTCTCGCGAGGGCTGTCGTACCAATGATAACGATGTCCTCGGGTCGAGACCGTATCCCATGCGGGACGTTGTACCCCACTCGTTTTTCGGCCGCGTCTGTTCGCGCCCATGGTCTCGGCATCCTTGCCGGTTCGTCTCCACAAGCATGGGTAAGACACTGCAGTCGTCATTGCCGCGCCCCCCGACCGCGGCCGCGGCTGCAGTGCCGAGGCCAGCCCGCCGGGCGCGCGGCGCGCGCGCGCGGGTGAGTGCTGGGGATGGATCCCGCATATTGCCTTCCGCCTCCTCCTGCTCCTCCTCCTCCTGCTTCTCGCCTCTCCTCCGAGGTCGCGTCTCTTTCGTGGCGCGGACCTCTGGGCATCACAGCACCTCTTCGAGTGCCAGCGTCCCGCTTCGAGTATACCCGACACCTGTTCTCCAGGGCCGTGGAACGCCCTCCAGAGTCCACAGACCGAAACCATGCAGAAGGTGGCCTTCGCGATTTTGTGCAGGAAACAACCCTCATTCTCTCTTGTGGGGTGCACATTCCCGGGGGTTATAATTCAGCACCGGCGCTGAGATACTCGTTGTCTTAAACCAGATACATCGGGGCCAGAAAAGAGGGGGGTGATGACTCGGGGGGGGGGATATCATGGCGGGGGCCATGATATTTCCCCAGATCTCATGGCGCCTCTTCTTATTTCATTACGTCCCTGCCCCCTCCGCTGGGCCGCGCACATGCCGCCGGTCATGATTTGCACCCCCCCCTTGGACACCCCCCTCTTGGCCGCTCCCGAATACAAGCTGCCGAATCCGTACAAACCCGTTTGATCCCAATTGATTTTGCGTCATTCAGTCGTCCATCCAGGATCAGCTTCGGGGCGCTCGCGGGAGCCTTTGGTGGGGTGCGCTTTTTGGGAGCCTCTACGGGGCCTCTGGAAAGCCTCTTGGGGGCCTCTTGGGGCTTCCTGGGGGCCTCTTGGGCGCCTCTTGGAGGCCTCTTGGAGCCTTGGAGCCTCCTGGGGTTTTTCGGTCCAGCTCAATGGCCCCACAATCTTGCGAAGTCCTTCAAGGAGCTCGTTGTGTGCCGACTCCCTCGCTCTTCTCCTTCCTCCCTCCCAGGATGATGATGATGATGATGATGATGATGATGATGATGATGATGATGATGATGATGATGATGATGCTGATGCTGATGCTGATGCTGATGCTGATGCTGATGCTGCTGATGATGATGATGATGATGATGATGATGATGATGGTGATGGTGATGGTGATGGTGATGGTGATGGTGATGGTGATGGTGATGGTGCGATGATGGTGATGGTGATGGTGATGGTGATGGTGATGGTGATGGTGATGGTGATGGTGATGGTGCTGATGGTGCTGATGGTGCTGATGGTGCTGATGGTGCTGATGGTGCTGATGAGGATGAGGATGAGGATGAGGATGAGGATGAGGAGGAGGAGGAGGATGATGATGAGGAGGATGATGAGGATGATGAGGATGATGAGGATGCTGATGCTGGTGATGATGAGGATGATGAGGATGATGATGATGAGGAGAAGGAGGATGAGGATAAGGATGTGGAGGAGGAGGAGGAGGAGGAGGAGGAGGAGGGAGGATGAGGATGATGATGAGGAGGAGGAGGAGGTCTCCTTGCGTGCAGACTCCCTCACTGTCCTCATTCCTCCTCCCTGCTTCTGCTGGCAGGCAATTGGTTTCAACAGCGCCGCAGTCCAATATCCCTGCTCCTCCTCCTCCTCTCCCTCCTGCCTGCCACAGGTCCTACAGTCAACCCGCATAGTAAGGATGAGCGACGTTCCAAAGGCACCCTGGCATCCTTCCCGTTTCGGCCCATCCTCCGCCGCTTTGGCTGGCCGCGTCCCGCTCGCAAAGTGTCGAAATGTGGCCTTCGAGGCCATTGCATCTGTGTCGTGTGTCCTTATCAGACGGGTCAACCTCTGTGGCAAATCATGGGATCCTGGGGTTTACCCTCTTCGATTAGCGTCTGGAGTCGATGAGATAGCGCCGATTTAGCGCTTCGGCTGGCGTCGATTAGCGCCGATTCAGTGTCGATGTGGCGTCGATGAGCGTCGATTTGCACGAGCCGACACGATGATTCGGTAGGCTCCCAGGAGTTGCCACCGAAGGAGGAGGGGGATGTAGCATAGGAGGGATATGTGCTTGGGGAGGAGGAGCAGGAGGAGGAAGAGGCTGGGGCTGCGAACACGACGGCCCAGTTCTAGTGTGCCCGCTATGCAGACGTGAGTTGCCGTCCTTGGACATTCCAGTGTCGAGCGTCCAGAGGGCAATGCCAAACTCTGCGTCTGCGGCAGGAGGTGCGCCAGGCACAAGATGGCGCTGCACTGTTCCGTCTGTGCGACGTGGGCACAGGAGTCCTGTTTCCCAGAGGTCAGAAGAGAATGACGCGAGCTCCACGCTACCGTTGGCAGCCCGTCGGCGTGTTACTCCTCCGCTTTTGGTGGTGATGGTGGTGGTGGTGGTGGTGGCGGCTGGCGACCGCCGCCGGGGGCCGTCGGAGGCCGCCGACCTGCAGGGCGCCTTCGGGGTGGCGATGTACCAGCCGGCCCGCCCGCGCCGCCGCCGCGCCCTCGCGGAGGAGGAGGAGGAGGAGGAGGAGGAGGAGGAGGAGGAGGCGGAGGAGGAGGAGGAGGAGGAGGAAAAAGAAGAGGAGGAGGGGAGGAGGAGGAGGAGGAGGAGGAGGAGGAGGAGGACGGGGGGGGAGGGGGAGGGGGTGGGGGAGGGGGAGGGGCAGGAGGAGGAGGAGGAGGAGGAGGACGCCTCGGATGACCTGTCATGCAACCAACTACGGGAGCATGGGCCAATCATGTGGGCCCAGCTCGTTTACCGTGGATTCCCAGGGGAAAAAGTGACGGAAAACAGAGCGGGCCAAAGAAACTCATCAAAACAGTTTGATCGGCTGGCCATTCTTGGGGTTCTTACCCGCCTTGATGGCCTTAATAGCATGCCTCTGCTTATACAGTGTGGGGGGGTGCTGGGAAGGGCCCAGGCAGCATCCTCCAAGCTTCGAGTGCCCCGCACGCCCAGCATTAAGCTGGTACGACCCACACAATGTGCAAACCATTGCACCGAGATTCGAGAGAATTCGGTGGCCATCTAACTCTACAATGTCGTCTGCACACGGCTGCTGAGCCCCCGACGGACCAGGAACGACAGGGTCATCGGGTGGGCTGAGATCCTGCGCCAGACCTAGCGCAACGTTGACCGCCTCACTCCTGTAAGGCAATGCACGCTGCAATACAACATCATTGCGGGCCTGGAGCTTTTGTTGCTCCGTTGGCTCACACTTAGCATAATTATTGGTTCCCGCAACGAGTTTCAACAAACTGGCTGGGGTCCGAGCCGTGGCCAAACATTTCTTGCACTGCCAGACCCCAGGACTGCGGATGACCACCTCATGCACACGCAATCCTACATGCTGTACAGGAATCGGGGGGCCACCTAACTTGAGCCTCTCGGGTCTACTGCTGGTGGAGTCCCTGGTTATGAGCTTAGCAGCCGCCCAGGAGAAGAACTTAGCATTCAACTTCTCTTGGCTCAGCCTGGCCTCAAACATTTGGACCGTCGATTTGTGTACTGCGTGCATGTTGGCCCCCTCCCTGGCGAAAAAGTCCGCCCACATGTTCCCGAGCAGAAATTCAAACGGGAGGGTGCCGAAGTGTACCTCCAGGTAACTCTCGATCGTGATGTGCGCAGGCGTCCAGCAAGCTCTGGGCCGACGCTTGTCGTCAGCAGCATGAAAGATGTGCCTCCAGATGTCTGCGTACGTCGAATTCGCATCTTCCTGGTCGTGGTGCCAGGAGTCCATTTCAGCTGCCAGACTCTGGAGATCTGTCACCAGTAGGTCCACAGCAGGTAAAAGCCTGAGTGCCATGAGGAAAGCCATACGCTCCGATCTCCCGACCGTTTGTATCGGACCCTCGAGGGGCCCATATGCCGCACGAACAGGTAGCCCGTTGTCCCCCATGACGACGAAAGACCACCCACATCGACGTATCTCAGGCCACGCAGGGGCCAGCCCCGAACCATCAGAGAAAACCAAAGAGCTCCAGGAACTTCTGTCAGACTCCCAGTCACCCCAGCAGCCGTACTGCAACTTGAACTCCACATACGGTGGGATGAGAGGGCTCACGGGTATGCCTACTGCCGTTGCCAGACAATCCCAGTCGGGCTCTCCAAGGGCCTTCTGTCCGAGCTCCCTTAACATATCATATGTGTACTGCATATCAGTGTTCCAGTCGAGATCGGGCACCTCAGGCAGGTCATCGTAAAAACTAGGACAGCGAAAGAACTCGTGTCCAATGGTCGATTGCTCCGCTGCGCAGTAGATGCAGGCAGGGGAGATCTGGTACCCCTTGGCAGCCAGTCTGGAACGTGACCAAATAGAGTCGGACCACAGTGCACGCAGCGCGCCAGCAAAACGTGGGTGCCTGACCACTGCCTTCTTAGCACCAATACATCTCCTCATAGCTCTCATCCATAAGACCTCATCCCCATAGCATACCTCCTTATGATGTGTAAGTATACGCATGCCTTGCCAGCGCTCGATGCCTTGCCTGACCAACTCCAGCACGTCCTTGGGACAGAGCTGAAGGAGGTCAAACGTGTGACCTAGGTCGCTGTAGATCCCCGTGGCGGAATACATGCCCCATCCTATTCTCCTCAAAGACATCCATACCACAGCAATGGGCCCCCTTGCCGAGGTCCAAGAGGCCTTAATCTTGAGCCCCTCATCCACCTTCATCCAGGCCCTCTGCAGTCTCCCAAGGCAAACTCTGTTGTCCCAGACGAAGCTGCAGTAGGCCTTCCGGGGGTCCATGGTGGCATTGTAAATTGGGTCGTACTTGGCGTCAGCCTGCGTAGCCAGATATACAGTGAGAGAAGATACTGCCGTCGAACGGCCACATAACATGCCAGCAACAGAGCGTAAACGGGCAAGCTCCTGGTCGCTGACTCCAGATACAGTCGCGCCGTGCGCAGCAGCTGGAAGAAGTCCTGTTCTCCAGATAGCGGTGACTCTGTTGCCCGCCGCCTTCTGGAGCATGATAAGCCTTGGGGGCCTGTCCTGCAAGCCCTTCATCCTAGCCTTAGCTTGTTTCCTCACAGGAACTGGCCCATCAAGTTCATGCCCAAGATTTCGGACCCACTTCTTGCTTTTGAGGTTGATCCTTGAGGCCAACTTGCGGAACCCCAGGTGCCCCTTCCTAGTGTTGGAGCCCCAGCCCGATTTCTTGACCTGCAGCAGGAGCCCCAACTTGGCCGAATCCTTGACGAAGCTCTGGGTCCCCAAGAACAACTCAGCCGAAGAAGTCCCCGACGGCCCAACCCATTGGAACGTGCTGTCATCCACGAGCGCTCTCGGGGTCACGTTGGGGGCTATCTGGTGCACCTTCATGAGGGCCCTGTAGGTGAGGATGGTGAGGAGGGTGGTGGCGTGGGTGCAGCCCGCGAGGATGCCCTGGTACACCACCACCTGCTTGCTCCAACATCCAAACGCCTTTATAACCCTTGGCTGGGAATACGAGTTGATTAACATCCATAATAAACGAAGAGGGAACCCCAGGCACCTGGCTTCCTCAAACAATGCAGGGAACAGCACTGTCTCGAAACATTTCCACATATCGAGAAACACAGTGACTGAACTCTCTCCCAGAGAAGCAGCAATCTCCGCCTCTAGGTTGTGCGCAAACGCGGAATAACTGGAAGAGTGTCCCCTCCTGTTGCCCCAAATGAAAGGGCTCCCATGCTGTACAATCCATGTTCTTGAAATCGGGCGCCTTGCTCGCGCCCACAAACGTACTATGCTCTCTACTAAAGTGATCAGCCGCGTGCCTCCATTGGGCTTGGCAAGCCTGACCATCTCGTTGACAATTCTCTGTGACGGCCAGTACATCATCCTCTCGCATGTGTGGCACAGTGTGCAGAGCGCCAACAAGCCAGCATCAGAGAGGAAGAAAAATGCGCGAGGGTGCAGCCTCGTCGGCCCAGTGGCCGTCGTCCAGGTGAACGCGGGAGCTGCCCTGGACAAATCATCTGGCCGAAGCGGGGGAAGATCCTCCCATGTATGCGCATCACTCGGCAATGGTGGCTCACGCTGCCCATGGCAGGACCATACCTCATGCCAGACATCCATTTCCCTGTCGGCCATTTGGTACGGCTGCATTCTGTCAGTATGCGCCACTGCTGCCTCCAAAGCCTTGACCTTAGACGTGCGATGCGCAGGGCCTGCCCCTTTCTTGAACGCCATGTCGATCCAAGACTTCCAGCTGTCCTCCACCTCCTTTCTATGCTCCTGGTGAACTTCATCAGCACGCTCGACTATGCGGTATATCTGCTGCTCGGAGTCGTCTCTCCCTAGCAAGGCGATGCCATCTAGGAAGAATCCCTGAGTCTCCTCACCCAGGTGACTCCACATGTGGTTCTGCTGCCCCACAATCTTGAGCAAGAAGCGATCTGTGTCCACTAGCGAACGAGCCAATCTGTCAATGGGATTCAGTCTCGCTGATGCTCGCTGCTTCCTGGGCTGCGTTCTGTCAGGATTCCCTGGATCCTCACGTGGCCTCGGGGCTGACGCAGTCGCCGCGGTCGCCGTAGCAGTACCCGTAGGCCCTCTACCAGGGGCAGAGACATCATTGGTAGTAGTTGCAGTACACGGCGCCATCGGCCCTCCAGCGATCCCACCGCACGGGGTCACTGAGCTGAGAGCCGCGGGCATGCGCGGATCAGCAGAGGACACGCGCCGCGGGGCAGTCTCGTCATTCATAGGGCGTAGGCTGCATGACCCACTCGTAGGTGCCCTCTGTGAACTCGACCTGCTGGTGACCGTCGTCCAGTTGCCACCTGCCTCTGACTCCTCTCTCATAGGAACTGCAGCTGCAGGCGCCAAGGATGGCTGTCTGCTGGTCCAGGGCGAGCTGTAATCAGGAAGGTGAAATTCGCCCGCCCGCCTATCATCACGCACAGCTTCCTGCACCAATTTGATCCAGAAGGCTCGTACTCTCATGAGATGTTTCGCCCATCTGGCCGCAGCCAGCCAAGCTAAGGCGTTCGGCCCAAGGCCTCCCGCCTCACGCTTGGGGGTCCAGTGTTCTTCGACAAACTTGGTGTCCCTCGGGCCAGCTCTGCCCCTGTACGGAGCAGCCTCATCGTCAACCACGTCGTACCTGTTGAGTATCTCAAATTCCACTCCAGTGGTAACTGCATCCCAAGCCATCTTGAGCGTTGTCGTCGTCATGAGCACGTAGAGTGGTGCCCATCACATGATCCCAGTTCATAGGATATCGCGAACAACCTTGCTTGGGTAGCTTTGGTAACTGCTTGGGCTCAACAGGGACCCTCAGCCAGATCTTCTTGGGCTCAGCTCGAATCGAAAGAACCACAGGTGCATGCGTGGGTAGCCCTGCAGCCTCCACATCTGGTGGCTCAATGATGGCGGCCAACTTGGAGTGAACTATAAAATAATCATAAATCTTGCCCTCAGCCGAGTTGGTGGTGCGACATGTGACGTGCGACGGGACCATCATCAACGCATTCGTCTGCGCCACC